ACCCTGCAAATGATCCAAGACCAACATGTTTTAAGATCTTCACTGGTGTGTCACAATATATACTAGCTCAATAAAACCCTTTTATAAAAAGAAGCCCATATAAAGTAGACCAGTAGTGGACAAATATAAGTGTATTTTAGTTTGTATCAAAAATTAAAATAAAGGTTGGGCATAATGGGGTCTGGCCTTCCTAGCTTTCAAAGTCAGGTGAATTCTTTATGTAACAATTGGAAATGGCAAATTCTCCATCGAGTTTACTCAGAGAACATAATCAAAAACAATACAAAAGGAAAAATATCCTACTTAGGAGAAGGACAAAAAAGTGTTTCAGTGGCATGAATGGATTGTTGGAACTTGCATCTACATATATGATTCGGGTGTCTGTGAAACCAAACCACTTTTGCTGCAGTTACACATCTGTGGTGACTTTTGGAAGCAGAGAGGTAATGAAATATCATTGTGATGGGGATGGCATTTTAGGTGTATTGTTTTTCAGGGTTAGTGCACCATAGTTTCACTCAGTCTGTTCATGGGTTTAATTGCCTTCTGCTATTATTTTGGATGCAAGAAATCCAGCCAGGGACAGTGAATCAAAACAAATGCATTTGCCTCCCATGTCTTTTAAATGAGAACAGATTCTGTAAATTATAGTCAAGTTCACCCTTTACCTGGTCCTTTTAACAACCTGTCTCAGACCATCTAGCCAGGCAGAATAGAGGGCTTAGAGCATTGGTCAGATAAACCATGTCCGTCAAAATAACTTGGAGGCAAAAATATACTTTCTAAAATACAATATGTTTGCCAACTTACACTGTTTGATTTAAACATGCATTTTATTCACTAAACAGTTGCCCAGCATTCTCTTAGATAAGTTAATATTCACTTGAAAATTATGTGTGCTACTAGTTATAGAAATGAAAAGAATAATTAGAAACACATGGAAAAAATTAAATCCGATCGAGTGACCCTTCATAATTGGAGAATCATTGTAACGGTATTTGAGCAGCAGGATCATTCTGTTTGTGTGACTACTAAATAGTATAGTGATATCAAACTTTTAAAAATAAGCTGAGTTCATGATAGCAGCCATTCTTTCTGGAGTGAAATGGAATCTCAGCATTGTTCTCATTTGCATCTCTCGAATGACCAGTGATGTTGAGCATTTTTTCATGTATGTATTTGCTATTTCTACTTCTTTGTCTGAGAAATGT